CGGAATGGACAGGTCCATCCGAGGAAGAACCACGGTCTCACAGGATACCGACGACCGAAAATATACAATTTAAATACGATAATCTATTGTAAAAGTTCTTATGCAGAGGACTTATTTAGATAGCAACATTCAGTGTCTAAGATAGATAATATAAACACTGTTGTAATGTAGAATGAATTTAGGACTAATATACTCTGATAAGTGTGCCATATCTAGGCTATGTTTACATCAATGTAGTATTATTGAATTGCGATGAGGAACGTACGTGATGACGCTTCGAAAACGCTCGTATCTGTAATGGAGGCATTGTGCGATTGTGTCTTTATTATACCCGGCATTGTTTATGTTTGAGCTACAATCGGCAACAACAGTGTACTAGCACAATACCGACTAGTTCTCTTATGCTTATACGAACAGAGTTCACAGTTCAACGACGTTTTTGATTAGTCAGTGAGAGCTTTTCGCGGTATTGAGAGTTATTTATTTGAGGAGCGAGTTATTGCCATTGGAAATAATTGTTATTTTGGCGTATTTGCTTAAAAATTTTTACGATGCGCGCGCACACCAGCCCGTTTGATGGTCGGTTGCTATGCAACCAAAGTCATCATGTCGCTTTTTGGTGGCTCGTCAAATTGATGTAGTCTCTAGTCTAAGAGAGTAAATGTCTACAAACATATTTAAATAATAATTCTTTATAAATAATCTTAACAGGGTTTAGAGGAAGGTTTTATTGTGTCAATCAATCTACAAGCCCATTCCGCTGAACACCGTTAAAAATGCTAGAGAATTTTGGAATTTTGAATTGAGTAGACATAAAATGATAGCGTGCTTCGTGGCAGTCTGTGGGGGAGGCCTATGTTCAGCAGTGGACTCGAACTGGCTGAAATTATGATGATGATGAAAACAATAGGGCATAAAAAAAACATTTAATTTCGATATGAGAGTAATAATTTGGTCATAAAGATTATTCGCGGTTACAATCAAATCATTAATGATACATAATAAAAAAAATATTTTACAGTGTACATTTGTAATCAAATTGCTATTGTTAACAGGAATCTCTGATGACGTCACGTATCATATTTTTACGTCAACTGTAACAAAGCGATTTGTTTTTCAAAATGCAACACTTTCTGATGAATTAAGAGAGGTGCTCTTGCAGTCGAGCGTTTTCTTGATTGACCGTGAGTACAAACGGTACGACTTCAAAAAATTCAAATACAAGAACTTAATGGTGTGGGGTACGTATGGGTAAGGATTTGCTTGACAAAGGAACGTCTAACACGTCTCTGTCTCCGGGGGCAGGCCCCCGGTTCTGTAGGGTGGCCACTTATCAAAAATATTATTTTCAATGGAAACACTTTCCACATTTCTCTCGATGTGTACACACCATTTCGTATTAGGACTTTTATTCATAGTAATTGTGTATTACATTAGATCTTGTAGTGTCATGTGGTTTTTAACGTTATCCTAAAAAGAAGACAGCAGTGCAAAATTTTCTTCGCATTACAACATTGAATATTTCCCCCGCTTTTTAGTACAGCTACTAAAAATAGAAAACTGTAATGAAAAATTTACTTAAAAATATATCGCTGTTAGTAGTTGTAGATAGGGTGACACAGTCTAAGGAATTAGTAAACTATTGATAATTAAGATAAGTTTATGTTGGTTTGAATGATAAATGGTAATTAAATTCGTTTAAAACAGAAGAGTTAACTCTTTTATTAATTCCGTCAATTACATAATAAGTTCATATAAATACGAAATCATTGCTAAGAAAAGTGTACTTGTACGGGATATAAGTAGAATTAATAAATATTGTTAATTTATTTATTTTTTTATTTAATTTTTATTGCATTTCCTTTAATACGGAACACAATAGGCGGAATGCCTTTAGGCGTTCTTTGCCAATCAACCTATGGTGTGAGGTCTTTATGCAGGTGCAAAATAAAACTAACTAAAATTAAATTAGAAAATAATCAACCAAAAGAGTAACATAACTTATATACAAAATTATATAAAATAAACTACATGATACAATAAAAGACATGTAAAGTACTTCATAATAAAAACAGATTTTTGTTGTTGTTTTGAATTAACTCCACGTTCTACAATTAAATTATACTCAACTTCATTAAGGCATGATATTTTACTACTGTTACAGTCTATATTAAAAAATTAACGATTTTTTTTTACTCTTCTAAGGAAGCTGAAACTCGAAAGTGTCGGCTAACACGTCTACCAATCTTTAAGCTGGCCACTCCATTCTGGTAATACCGTCTCTTGATATATACGATATACCCATTATACGCATTAATCGAATAAGTACTATCGGGCTGTATAAAAATGGTTATTGTGCATAAAAACGGACCTTAGACCGATATTCACAAATTTTGCGCCCCAGTGTATAAGTGGACCTTAATTTATTAACTGTTAAAAACGTTATCACAATTATTGAAAATTAACAAACTATTCGATCTAAACCGGTGCATATAAAACAGAATAATTACTGTTCTATGGCCGGTTCCAAACTTAAGCTGACGTGTTTCTTATCATTTGATCATATCAAAGCTCAATCGCTCAACTCGAAACTCCTCTTAAGTTAATTAACCAAAAGAAAAACACCGAAAGACATTCAGCAAAAAAATAATATTAAAAACGTAACAAAACTTGAAACGGAGAATCATTCCTTTTTCGTGTTCAGTTAAAATCCGTTAACACCGGAGTCTCCTCCACCCAAGCTCCCTACCGGGGGCGGCGGACCCCCGACGCCCCCACCCTAATAACATAATCGCCGACAACGCCACTTGCGATTAATTAAATTTAAAATTTTCATTACCATAGGTGCGCCATTGTGATTCCCAGCCTCCCCCGTTTATTGTCACTCGTCGCGGAATTTCGTTCTTTAATGTAACCAACCCCCTTTTGCGCTGGGAGCGGTGTCGCGGCTTAATGTTTAACGGTATCATTTTTTTATCAATGAGAAATCACTTTTTGCGGAGGACGTAAGAGATAAATAGAAATTCGACGGCTATTTTGATGAGAAATCACATTTTGTGGAGAATGTAACATGTAATGGGGATTGAACTTGGTATCGTTATTCTTTTACTTTGTATGTCATCGGTTTGTAGTACGAATAACATTGTAATTTATTATATAACATTATTAGTATAAAACCATTCAATACAATTTTTCGTGTTCGTTTAATTGTTCCGTCCTTAATTTAACGATATCTTTATACATGGTATAAAACAAATTTGCTCCCGATGTTTGTTACGCTTAGATCTTTTGAACTACGTAACGGATTTAAATGAGGCTTTCAGCAATAGATAGAGTGATACAAGCGGAAGGCTTATAGGTATGTAGTATACATGCATAATAGTAGAGAAAACGAGAAATTCAATATCAACATTTCACCCGTGCGAAGCGTGGGCGGATCGCTAGTGTTCGATAAATAGATACTACTTTATATAGATAGATATACCTGGACTATCTGAATATGTAAAGTAAAAAATTGACATTATTTAAAAAAAATTGAAAATAATTATAGGAATCCGATAGGTATAAACTTATCTATAAATCTTTTCATTATCTTTTCTTACTTATTGTCGATTGTCGCTTCGAATGTAAGCACGCAAATAATATACACACATGAATTCGCTACGACTCTCAATTTTGCCATTTTCCATCTCCGTAATTATTGTTCACGGTCCAAGACCCGCGGACCGAACACGTCCGCCGTTCAAATTTCGAAATTCAATTAGAGCCGAAATCGGCCGAACAGATTTTCGACGGCAGTGCGGAGCCTCGCGGCGATTTCAGCTGAGTCACGGCCAGTCCATCCCCACAACGTTCCGCCGCACACCAAAAAAGCCATGGGAGCCGTGAATTCCTCACCACCATCTTGTTTCCACTTTTTTCACCTGTTTATTGCACCTCCTTCGACTAAACGATCGGTTTTACGCTTGCGCATCCCCGCTTGGTGGACGCACTATAATACTGATTTACGACGCTCGGCTAAACGGCTTAAGGTCTAAAGTCGAACGGCTAAAAACGGTAAAAAAAAAGCATAAAGACTCTCCCTCTCCCGTTCAAAAATAATTTTGTCAATGAATTCGACGCCGGAAAAAACTACGAGATCTTCGGTCCCGGGTTTTATAGCGCTAAGTTTTTTTTTCGTCGCTTCCTCTCCTTTCATAAGCTTTTTCTGCTCGCTGTCTTATAAAATCTATTGCGATAATAAATGGACAGGTGTTATTTCTGTAATGATTAGCCGAACGGGTTGTTAGCCGCGTGTCGCAGTCAATAGGGCCCTTTGCGAGCGGCCGCCGTGTTTTTATGCCGAACCGTATTCTTTAATCTGTCACTTCTGCTTCTGGATACAATATCGTTGGGTGATTGATCACTTCAATTGGAAATGTATCATTAACTACCCTACTTTTATAAATATTTATAACAATATCAGGTCTAAAATATAAAACTACTGCGTAACGTATGCCTGCATCATTACCCTATAATGTCTATGGCCTTGCACAGAAACTAATGAACAGTTTCCACTCGCTAAAACGAAATACATGTATCTTTTGTTGACGCTGGCAACACTTTATACCGGATATGACGTTATCTACTAGAGCCGAGGGACACATGGTCGCATGGAGCAGCGGTCACTTTGAGTTCGGCTGCGTTCCCGGACAGTGATATAACCACTAGTGCTACTTGTCGTTATAATAGTCATTAATATTCGAGTTCAGTAATAGTTAAAATATGAGAATCAATGTAAAAACGTCAGAAATCTTATACTTTGAAATTACTATATGTTAGTCGAATGGCACAAAGTATGTTAAACGAAGCAAGGCTTGTTTTAATGTTCAAGATGTTAATGTTTTATTAAGCAAAAACAGTAACTAGCCGCAACACACACAGGGAATCTTGAGTTAAGCTTCCTCGAAACTTTCCCCGGTGCAATCGAAAACCGTGTACACTAGTGTGGACGCGTCCTAACCGACAATCGTTCGCCGAGTGCCGTCGCGACGAGCTAGAACAAACCAATTAATTAAAAAGCGAACCGCTCGAACCAAGAACGGCTCCTTATCCACGGCGCTGGTTTTAATTATTGGCCCATTGAGCTGCGGCCTGGCCGTGACGCCGAGCCCTGTACAATAAAACTTCGTAGCGCTGAATAATTGGCGGGCTGTATTGAATATAATTGGCCCCGCGCTCTAGAGGTCCGCGCCGGTTACCAATTGGAGTTGGCGCGACAATGGCCCGTTGGCGCACCTAATTGCCAATCGCTGGCATGATCCCGTTCGACAATCCACGGTATTAGAGGCCGCCCGTCCACAATGGCCGCTTGTGGAAACTCGTCGCGGCATAATTGCGCCATCGACGGCGGGAACTTGCGGATTTCGCCTCCGCGCAAAGTTAGAACGACCCTCGAATCGATTCGCTCGGAACGGGTTCCGTATTCGAAGTAATGACTTCCCATTATGACGCCTCCACGACTGTCGTGCACCGCTTGTAACTTTTTTCCCAAACAATGTGTTTCGATACGCTTATGAAAGCAACGACAGTGCTGTCCATAGTGGAGTGGATGAAGCCAGCTCCTGTGTGGGTTAAGACTCCCTGTTTACTTTTATACCTACCTCAATACACAAAGTGGATACCAAAATACCACCTCTTCCGATCTTACACTACTATTGTGAACGCATGTGTTTCTTACTCATGCGTTCACTGAATATAAACAACAAAATAGTTGCTTTATAACTTATGACTATACAGTTTTTTCTTAGGATATTACTACTAGCGCCACTGTGGTAATTTATGGAACACTCCGACACATTTTGTAAATCATAATATTTTGTCGACACTTGATACAATTTTTCATCATATACACTCCATAGGACGACATTAAAATATTGTGTTTAATAACATGTTACACGATCGACAATGTATTTTTAGTGTCTTCAATAACTTTCACTGTAAAAATGTTGCAAAAAAAAATTGTCAGAAACATTAACGAATTGTTAATCTCTAAACATAAATTAAGCTATTATAGAAGTTCTTTTTGATATTATTTTTAAGTAAGCCAAAATGATATAAATTCACACATGAATTTAAATACATTTTAAGATTTTTACGGTAGTTTATAAATAATAAGGTTTAATGTTGGATAACCGGTACGGTTATATCTGGCACTTTGGTTCCCGCCAAAAGCGTATGTAAATGTCACGCCTTTTGAACGAAGGCAATTTACCACAGATAAAGATAAGCCTATTTCGACCCGGCCCAAGTCAATAGCTTCCTTGGCGGGATGTCCACTTCGGCTAATCTCCGCATTGTCCAGCCGAAGTCGGCGAGTCAAGATTCAAAGGAAAATGGGGAGACAGGATTCGGCGGGTGAGTGCCACTCGAAATTTTCTCTCGGCTTAGCTTACCACCATTTTCTGATCTTTAAAAGTAAAAAGGACACGTTCAGATATAAGATTTAATGAGAAAATGATAGCGTATCCTTATTTTATTACACATTAATGTAATGTTGGCTTCGTAATTTTTTTATGCGAGGAGATGGCAAGCGCGTCGGCAGTTCATCTGATGTTAAGTAATAACCACCGCCGATTGACTGTAACACCCGCAATGTTGCTGTTACGTTGCCACCTTTTAAAAAATGGGCCCCAGACGAAACGCAGAAGTATAACACTCACTTCACGCCGGTCTTCTGTGGGATCGTGGTACTTACCCGGACGGACCTGCCCATTTGTGCAACAATGAATAGGTACTGTTGCTTGGCCCAACCACGGTTATATATTAAAATAAGTTAAGAGATATTGGCTGTAAACAATTTATTTTATAAGAAAATATAATATTATAACTCATTCAAAAACATCAAAGTTATACAGCTGATATGGAGTTTGAGTTGGGATCCAGAAAAACTCTATACGTCAGGTATACGTAGATAGAACTGGTATTATAATTTTAAGGAGTTAGAATTCATATTATACATTTAACAACATTGTATACAAACTAATGGGTAAAGGAAAAATTAAACATGTAGCCTCTATTTTCATTTCATTCATCTATATTCATTTCTTATTTTATTTTTAAATAAATAAATGTGAACATACGTCATTTGTATAAGATTATTGTCTTATGAGTATCGTGAATTTTTATTTTATCTACACACATTCCGAGTGTCATTTCCGAATTATTAGTGAGCGCCCTCTACGCTTTCCCGCCAAAACGACGTTTGACATTTAAATAGATGTTTAAAGAGGTAATTTATAAAACGAGAACCTAGCCGGCCAGCGACATTTTTCCGCCGACGACGTTGTTAAATCGATAAAAAATAACTGTTGGCTCGTACGCGGACGCACCTCACTAAATATACGACGATATTCGGCTCCGTTTAGTGCGTCTCGTGTAAATAAAATCGATAGGCTCCCCTTTCCCGCGCTTTAGGAGGCGTACAGGTGTATTGTACGATGAATTAACTATTCAGTGCGTCACAAAAGGGCCGCACAGACGTGGGGTACTCCATTCCGAACTGGAACCTGTGAAGCGTGGACACATCGGTAATATTAAAATTGTTTCGCCCATTGTCATCGGCGGAAGCATTCGGCAAGAAGAAGGGATAAGCGCTAATTTTCACTTTGTACTATTGCCATTTATTTCTACATAGTATGAAACAAAGTCATCCCGTTCTCTGTCTGTCCCTATTAGATCTTTAAAACTACGCAACGGATTGATGCCGGTTTTTTTTACTACATAGAGTGGTTCAAGATGAAGGTTTATATTTGTATAATACATAGCACCCGTGCGAAGCCGCGTCGATAGTTTATATTATAATATAGAACTCGCATATTCTTTAATCGTAACGATACAGGCAGAATGGAAACTATGTATTAATTATACATATTAAATCTAAATAAATTGTGTTATTTTATTTATTTTTTTATTTTTAAATTTTTTGTTATCTATAAACTTAGTCCACGCGGCATTGTACCTAGTACGCTAGCTGCGTTTCTTCACTGAATAGTTATGCTTAACCTTTAAGCGAGTAAGGAACCAGTCCTTTTGACAGCATCCGCGGCGGTAAGTCTAGGACGTAAGCCTTTCAATAATTTTTGATTCAATGTTACCACTAGTCAGAAACGAGTAATTTATTAAAGTGGAATTTATAAAGTCTACAATAGGTTACTCTGAAACGGAGTATGGGAGTAATGTCATTCACGGCCGTATCTAATGGCAGGTAAGAGAGTCGCCATTTTTTTAAAATGTGTCTTTTCACTCTTCCGTCACACTCACACTCACGTTTTCTGCGTCAGATGAAGCTTTAACAGTCTCGGGACTGAAAGAAAAACATCAGTTAATACAAGATACAAGACTCACGTTCGTCGCGATGGCTGAATGGATTTATATGAAATTTTGCCCGCACCTTTATTACTTTTCTCCTGTACCTTAGATAGTTTGCCTGGAAGAAATTCTACCAATGCAATACGGCCCTATGTACGCTATGTTTACAGTATTTTCCTTTAGTGTATTTCCGTTTCCAATAAGGTAGATTATATTCTGTTCTATTCTATTCTATTCTATGCTAGTGGCTACAAGGTGGCACACGGCAGTCGTGACTCCGCAGGGTACAAATGGACGCCGCGGGTACAGTGAGCGGGGCGCGTCTGTGCAGGGGCCAGACAATGCTATCGATCGAGTGACGCCGCGGCCTCGCCGTTTGGGACAATACACGCACCCATACCCCACCTTACTAGGTGCCCGACTGTACTTATCGAGGGCGTATTAGTTTTAAGGCGGTTATAAGGCGGTTATCTGAGTAATTAGAGGTAGGTAGGAAGTAAAGTAAAGGTAGGAAGTTTGAAATATAAGATGTTATAACAAGTGCGAGCCGGACTCGCGCACTAAGTGTTCCGTACCACATTATCTATAAAAACGGCAAAAAAGTTATGTCTGTTGTATGGGAGCCCAACTTTAATCTTTTTTTATAGCGGCGACAGAAAATTTCAACTGTCTAAATATCACGGTTCATGAGATACAGCCTGGTGACAGATGGACAGACAGACAGACAGTCAGACAGACAGCGGAGCCTTAGTAATAAGGTCTCGTTTTACCCTTTGGGTACGGAACCGTAAAATTAAAGGACAATAATAAAATGATAATTCAATTTGAACATCAAGATATAATATATTTTCAAATAGTGACTTTAGATGTGGTAGAATTCATGGCAGAAAAGCATAGTCCATTTGGATGAGTGTCCAGGGTATCGTTTACTTTGATGATTATGACGTCTCCGTGGCGCAAGGCTTCGATGCCGTAGGTTCGATTCCCACACGAGACAACTATCCGTGTGACCCACAGTTAATTGTTTCGGATGTAGATGTTCGTCAATGTGAAATTTATGTAAGTATATAACCACACAACACGGGATGATGTTATCCAACAGTAAGGGGGCAATTTATAGAAGACTACGATAGATCTTTCTAAGTCGCATTGATCATTGTGACTTACTACCCAAACCCTTCCACACAAAACACAAATGCAACGTTATATTTTATCAAGTACGTTTACTAATTGCTATTAAATAACCGTTTGTTTTCAGACACACGTAGAGTAAGGCAGTAGGTGCCAACAAAGTTTTGCGATGTTCCAGTTAATTCACATCACTAATGAACATCCGCTCCTCTAAAAGAGCATAAGTCGGTGATAACTCTCCAAAGATGCTCAATGGCTCAGTTATCCCCTTTGCCAACAGCTATGGCGGGTCGTTAGTTCAATTCCATTGGGAAACATATGTAATAGTTGTTGGAGACCGCCAAAGGAATTGTTTCGTTTTAAAATAGCCTAAATAGATCGACTTAATGGAGTAACTCTCGACTCGGCCGTTTTAAATAGAAAGACCTTTGATGACTCCAACAATGATTGCAAGCTGCTTCTTGTATCTTGTATTAACTGATGTTTTTGCTTTCAGTCCCGAGACTATTAAAGCTTCATCTGACGCAGAACCGGTGGGCTAGCCAGAACCCACGGGTTTGGGTGCAAGCTGCTCTTAAAACGCTTGCTTAAAGTAAAATTAAGCATACGGGTCATGATATAGTGATAGAGTTGTCTAGTCGTCAGGGTTTGTTTTTAGAAACTAGTAGTACGCCTAATGTAGTAGCAGTTGATCGTGGGACCGATGCAGGGGAAGCGCTCCAGGGGCCGAATTCCAACACGATGGACTAAAGGAGGCAACAGGAGAAACTCTACAACGATCCATTGAACAGGCGCATGATAGAAGCAAATGGAGGCAAATTACATATTATGGTCACGATCCTCATTAGTGAGGAAGAAGAAGTACGCCTAATATGTATGACTGCGTTTGGCCGCTCCATGTTTCGGATTAATGGGTAAAGCCGGATTCTTGAAATTTATTACTGATGTTGACTATGCAGCTGTATCTTATATCAGCTGCGGTATTTGTCTGTAGTTTTTGGAGAGCATTGTAGAGTCGGTATAGAATTTATCTTTTTTTTTTTCTTTGTGATGTAATAGGTTATTTCATTCATTTCTTATATTTACTTGATAACTTCTACCTTTTAGTAAGGTACTAGCCTACTTCTTAGATTCTTAAGAGGGTCAACAAAAGAGATAAGACGATGTATGGCGTTCATCTTTTCATGAAAATTCAAACACAGTGAAACTGAAAATAGTTTCTGTTGTTAATGTTGATTGTATTATCCATCTGATCTTAACAAATCATATAAGGCTATAAAATTGTTTTTACACAGTACAATCTTTTCTGAGGTACGCCAGAAGTAAATGTAGAGCGCTAAAAATATTTTACCGAAATTAATGCTTAAATAAATAATTGCCGCGAAAAACATAAAATTTAAGGCGATAGCATTGTCTAATTTATTACAAAGTATGTGGGGGTGGATATGGTTGTAACGACCACTCTAATTCCTTATTTAGTGACGTGCCTCCAGAGGCGGTCCTTGCAGATCGTGGGCTTCAGCAACACCTCCCCCACGGTGCCCCCCCACCCCCGCGGCCCGAGCACACCCACCGAACAATACCTAACAATGGCCCCTCACAATGGGCACAAAGCCGCCGCTGTCTTCCAATTGTGCCGCACAAAGGAGGCCCCGCCCACAAACAAAGGCGGCATTGTTTCATCTCGGTACGCGGGCGGCGATTGGTCGCCGTGACGTCACCGACCGCCACTTGACCACCCGCCGGCTACGGTGGAATGCTACCAAAAAACCACACACCCGATGCTATCTTAGTGGCTACTTAAACTCATCCGCCGGCACACGCGACTCCCCACCCTACTGCTTTGACTTAGAGTGTAGTTTCGAACGCTTCGTGTGGCGGCAGCTTGAGAGCAGATGTTCTTAATCGGTCGGGGCTCCGATCTGAATTGACAGCTCTCTATAAATGGCTTTCAGTTCGACTCTGGGTCGATTTTGAACCTTACGCGTCACACATCTTGTATCAGACATCACACAGTTTGTATAACAATGCACGATTACGATGGTTCATTGAATAAACACTAATAAGATGTTTAGGTAGGACTTGGTTACAAATGTGCTATTAACCCGATGGTCTTGTTGTAACCAGGAGTTCGAGTGATCCATACAGCGTTTTTCAATACTAGACAAATGAAAATTGGTCAGAGGTAAGTATCGTTTTGATATCGTATAATTTTTACGTAATAGCATTATATAAAGGTTCTAGTCTTTCTACGAAGATACAAAAACTAAACAACTCTATCATATAAGCTACAAGGTGAAATGGAAATTAATTATTTCACATGGTATAAAAACATTCCCGAACTAAATCAAACTACCGTTTACTTTTAACATGTTTTATTTAATGTTTGTTTTTATTTATTAAATACTAAGCATGATAATAATTAGTAGGGGAGACCGGGGTTGGAAGTCACATTTTTGGATTTTGAATTTTTAAGTGCCTATATTCTTAGCAAATCATTGAAATTTATATCTCAATGGATAGTATATCTAATCTAGTTTCAAAATAAATTCATGCTTTTTGACATTAACATTATCCATTGAGGAAATATTACATTTTTGAGAAAAAGGAAAAGTGTGACTTCTGACCCCATGTAAGGGATGGTTGTCACAATGCCAGGGGTAAGTAGTCACACAGTAAATCAAGGGAGGAAAATATAAAAAAAAACTTATTTAAATCAAATGAGTATGTATTTTTATCAGAAATAGAATCTTGAACTGGTATCCAAGAAAAGAATGTAAAATATTCATTATAACAAGAAATGTCAACAAATTCACTTATACATAATTTCCATTTAACAAAATTAGAATTCTTGTTACGAAAACAACAAAAATGTTATCATAAACAGGCACTGATTTATTTGGACGTTATACTTTTAAATAAAAGTGCGGACGATATAATATGAAGTCAATCCAAGTAATCAGTCTGGATATTCAGATTCACAATCTTGGCAAATGTAATAAGGTCTATAGTCAGATAGAACCGTGATAGCTCAGTGTCCGGGCGCTCGCCTTTAATTCAATATACTCGAGCAACCTGAGTTCGATCCCCGGTGCCGGCACCAATGAAATTATTAAATTTAAGTGCTGATTTATCATGTACTCAGCGGTGAAGGAAAAAATCGGTGCGTTCAATGAAGTTAATAGTCTAAGGACTGAAAGCGTAATGTCAGTTATACAAAAACAAAACATCGCGAGGAAACCTGCATATTTTCGAAATAATAACAAAAAAAAAGTTTCGAAGATATGTGAAGTCCGCCAATCCGCAGTGGGGCCGCGTGGTGGACCATGCCCTGATACCCTTTGTATAGAGGAGGCCTTTGCCCAGCAGTGGGACATGTATAGGCTGTTACTTTAATAAGTTCTTTAGCTTCTATCAGCTCGCTGTGGCTTGTGCGGAAGAATTTTTGCATCTTAGTCACCCCAATTTTGTCCATGTTTCATATTTCAAGTTTTTATAAAAAAACTGTTGACATTTTTTGGATTAAAACTGGTGGCTCGAGCAAACTAGTGGATTCAGGTCTTCTAATGAACAGAGAAGGATGTCTCTTCATAAACGACGTAAATCAATCGGTGCCAGCTAGCTTGTTTGAATCCCAAGAGTATGGAACTTTCAACTTATTGGAGACAGCAAGCTCGTACGTTATTATGTAGCAAAATTTCAAAAACCAATAAAAAAGCCAGCAGACATGCATGGGGTTGGTTGTCACATGTGACTACCAGCCCTCGTTTAGCTGCGACAACCTGCCCCAAACACACATTTTAGAAAATAACCCTAAAAATATATTTAACTAACTAATAAGCCATATATTTAACTTAACTAATACATGAATAGGTATTCTACAATGCAAAATTTAGGCATACTTACAACGATCGACACAGATGCACGAAAAATTACTTTCAATGTGAAAAAAAAAAAAAAAAAAAAAAAAAACAAACGCAAGTTTCTCCGTCACGGAGTTTCGGAGCGAACCAAAGTGAAGTGGGGAGGGAGTTTCTTATTCGTTCGTTATCTTTTCTGTTATGACCGCTGCGACAACCAACCCGTGAGACAACCATACCCGGTCTCCCCTACATGTGGTTCATTATCATATTTGCTACATCCAAACAAAAATAAGTTTAAGATTCTCAGTTAATTTAAATGACACGGTGTATTTTTTTCACTTGAGAAAATTGAAAAATGCAACGATCGCTGCCCACGTACTTCGGATGACACCGGTAGGGTGACAATAACAACGTCATCTCTCAAAAGGGATGACAAACCGCTACCTCACTATATTATTTTGACTATTAATTTACACGTTTCCTCACCGTCTTTTCCTTTACCGCCGAGCATTGATAAACTGCAGTTAAAATTGCAATTTTATCAGTGCCGCCATTGCTATTGAAATCGGGTTGCACCTCTGAAAAGATTATCTACAAATTTTAACCTCAACTCACGACATTTGTCTATATGCAAGAGGTTGATAAAATATAAAAGCAATGAAACGTTTGTAAACTCTACGTTGAACAGTCTAAACGTCCCAGTGTGGGGCAGGGCTTTACATAGAGGGCATGATCCACGCTGCCCCAGTCTAGACTACACTGTAGTAAGTTTGTAGTAAGTATTTTTTGTGATGTTACAACTGAGGTACCTACTATAAAATTGTGGACAAAACGCTTTCATCGCTTAAATTATAAATAAAATGGAAGATCATTCATCTTCAGATTTCCTGACACTAATTTTCAGATTGTAAATAAAATTATTATAATTATTTAAAGGCGTTTGATTGTTTATTATTTAAAATATCCATTGTCACTGAACAGACGTCTTTCCAGCTCGTCATAATACGCTTTGAACTGTACATACAAGCCGAAAGAGATACACAAATCATATAGACGTACAAACTGACCAACTAATGATTGACGTCAAACCAAACACACAACAACAAACTAGCCGAAAGACATACTAGCCGATGTACATACTAGCCGAAAGACATACACAAATCATAAAGACGTACGTACATACAAACGTACCAACTAATGATGGACATCTAACCAAAGATAACTGGCACACAAAAAACTGTACATACTAGCCGAAAGACATACACAAATCATAAAGACGTACGTACATACAAACGTACCAATTAATGATTGACATCTAACCAAACATAACCGGCACCCAAAAAACTGTACATACTAGCCGAAAGACATACACAAATCATAAAGACGTACGTACATACAAACGTACCAACTAATGATGGACATCTAACCAAAGATAACCGGCACACAAAAAACTGTACATACTAGCCGAAAGACATACACAAATCATAAAGACGTACGTACATACAAACGTACCAATTAATGATTGACATCTAACCAAACATAACCGGCACCCAAAAAACTGTACATACAAGCCGAAAGAGATACACAAATCATACAGTCGTACAAACGTACCAACTAAATGACGTTTAACCAAACAGACGGGACCACAAAAATTGGGAGCGTTTAGCGAAATCCCAACATTGTAGACCGTAAGCTGCGCCACTCGAGAAAGGCGAAATTGGCGGGTCGAGGGCTACGCCAGGGCAAGGGGCAAACACATTCGCGTAAGTGTTTCCCGGTACCGGCAAATTGGTACTCGACGTTGCCAAACTAGTGCGCTGTAAATCGGGTACACGACTTCGGGACGTTTTTGCGAACATTTGCGAATAGTTCGGTAATACGTAGCGAAGGATCAGCCGTTGGCTCGTTAGGGTAAGAAGTAAAGTAAGCCAAACATTTATGTTGTATCGCGCTGAGGTATCAACTTCAGTTACGTCTTTGTATTTTGATCCGAAACGGAAAAATGACAGTGTTGTCGGAAGGTATGAGATTTAAATTACAATTAATTAAAAGTCGAGAATCAGCCATCACAGCTGATGCTAATACCAAATACGTATTAATACGAAATAAAAGGCTTTTTTATGCTTGATTGAATAAAGTATTAGATAAATGTCTTTTGACCGTGTAACTATTATAAGAATTACTATTTTCATAAAACTAAATGATTTAAAAAAATACTTTTCGAATAGTAAGGAATACACCATCTACCGCCCTCTTTTAGGTGACGCTATAACTGCTGCACCAAAAAATACGTCCATCATTATACACCGTTATTGCCTCTGAGAGGACGATCTTAGTATGCAAAATATGCCATAGAGGGCGTTGTAATAAAAATTATCCTTCAAAATAATTTTAAAGTTAGCCAAAGTAATCAAAAATAATCAATATGTTTTCAGATTTATTTTTAATTTAAATAATGTGGTTTATTTTCGTAAGAAGAGACACGATTAAAAGTTTCAAATGGCCGCATTGGCTAAAATAGCTTTCTTTGCCAAGGCTAGTGAAAAAAATATTGGAGGACTTAATTACATCTCACAAAATGTTTAAAATACATTAGTGGTGTTTTATTTTTGTATGTTATCACAATAAAAGTTATATACCTATTTTGTTTGGAAACATTTCAATATATGATTGCATTTAAAACGTTCTGAATAATAAAAAATATAGAGATGTGCAATTAATTAATCGTATAAAAGTAGCATAGATAATGATATAATGGCAGGCAATGTACCCAAGCAGGCTAAAATAACGATTATGTGATAATGATCTTATAAAAAATACTATGAAAATAATCATTATAAAATATATTT